CGGGGCCCGCGGTCAAAGGGGTTAAACGAGCGCCTTCCGGGCCTCCCGGGTCCGCACCCCCGCCAGCCATGGGCAGCCGAGACCACCTGTTCAAAGTGCTGGTGGTGGGGGACGCCGCCGTGGGCAAGACGTCGCTGGTCCAGCGCTATTCCCAGGACAGCTTCCGCAAACACTACAAGTCCACCGTGGGAGGTGAGACTGCGGCGGGCCCGCCGGACCGAGAGGCGCGGGGAGGGCGCCCTTGCGTTCTTCCTGGGGTCCGGAAGGAGGCGTCTGGGTTCCCCCAGGCGTCCGGGCCGGGCGTTCGGCTCGTCCCCCGGCTGTCTGGAAAAGGAAGGGCAGAGGTGTGAAGACGAGAGGAGGAGAGGAAGATGTGTGTGAGCAGTTGGGGTTCGCCGCGGGGCTGGCGAATGTTGGGGGCCGTCTCCACGCAGCAGAGGTTAGGTGCCAGCTGGGGCTGGGCCCTGCCCCTTACGCGGACACCTGCCTTGGCCCAGGGAGTAGAACCCGAAGGGTGTGGGGGGCAGCACTCGGCGTCCCCAGATGATGCGCATCTGATGACTTGCGTGGTTTATGGCCATCAATTGCCTGAGTCAGAGTAAGCTAAGAATTCTTCTTAAAAATGGGAGAAATTCTTCAAAGAATGAAATATACCACTTCTCTGATCTATCTCGTCCCCCTTCCCCTCTTCAAACTGGGGAAGGGAGGGAGGATGGCGACAAGAGAATTGATTCATTTCTTTCTCACCGTGACCTTTCAACTCCTGAACTGTTTTTTTCAAAGGTGGACGCGTATTTTTTGTTAACTGGAAAGGATTTAGATAAGCGCTGACGAGGGGAATAAGTAACTTAAAATTTTCTATATGTCTACGAAAACAACTTTTTTATTTTTTTATTTTTTATTTTTTATTTTTTATTTTTTGGTTTTTGAGACAAGGTCTCACTATGTATTTGAGACTGACCTGGAAATCACTGTGTAGCCTAGGCTGGTCTCCAATTTGCAGCGATCCTCCTGCCTCAGCCTCCCGAGTGCTGGGATTACAGGCGTGCGCCGCCACACCCGGCCGAAAACAACTTTTTTAAAGAAAAAACTTGTACTTTGGTACATTTTGAAAATGTATGCTAGTGTTCCTATGAGTTTTTTAAATTAACGTTAACATTTAAAACATCCTCTCAGAATATCCAGCAAGTTATAATTTTCAAAGACTGTTTGCTAACCACTCTACTCTTGACTCCTCAGCAATATCTGTATTTTGTGGATATGAGTTAAAAGTGTCCTGCCAATTAATTTTTACAGTTCTAGTTTTCCATTAGAGAGAACAAAATTGACTTGGCTACTTTTTTTTTCAGAGATTACTGTAAATTCCCCTTGGATTTTATTTCTGTCACAGATGTAGAAGAATGTATTTCCAAACCTTGGAAGTTACTCTGTTTCTCTCCTTAGCAGACAGCTTTCCCCCTGGGTACTCCTTTAGCCTTAATTCAGAGAACCTCAGCCTCTACACAGACTTGGCAGACTCTGCCACCCGATCTTAGGCATCACCCGTGAGGTGTCCTCCTCCTGTAAACCCTCAGGGACCCTTCTCCTTTATCCCATTCCTGCCTGAGATGGTTCCTACAGCTTTAATGAGGTGGTAGAATCCCCTAGGGTTCTTTTTTTTTTTTTTCCTCATAATACAATCTGATTGGAAACCAATGGTGAAATTGAATGTGGAAGATACAAAACCAACCGGTTACATTTACCTCATCTCCTCCATCTTCATCCCAGAAAACAACCTCAAATCTCCCAGGAACTTCAACCTGAGAAAAAGAGCTTTCGTAATCACTTGCGATCCGCCTGTCCCCAGCCTTAGAGACAGATAGTATCAAATCAATTGGTTTCAAGGGGAATAAAAGCTGGAGACCCCTTTCAAGAGCAATGATGAATTATCTGCCCCATGCTTGCGCAAGTGTGGACTCATCTTAGCCTCCTGAGGGCTTAAAAATAAATAAATCGGATTGAGGTTGCATGTACCAGGGGCTGTGACTGTATACACAATCCGAGTGTGTCCCTGAGTTTTTTAAAGGTACATTTTGTTCAGTATAACATACTATATTTTCAGTGGATTTCGCTCTGAAGGTTCTCCGGTGGTCTGACTCAGAGATGGTGCGTCTCCAGCTGTGGGATATTGCAGGTAAATGGGGAAGGTCAGATAGGAACAAGGAAAGAGCTGTTTGGTGTGACTAGCATGCTGGGGGTGGGCAGCCAAACGGGACTTTTATTTTCTGAAGCGGAAATGATTGAGCCGCCCTAAAGACACCTGAACTGAGAAGGTAGAACTTTTGCAGATATTCTTTGTAGCTGTTTTGCCTTGTAGAGGAGAGGAGCACTCTGTGTGGGCAGAAGGACTTCCAGTATAACGTGGTCAGTTGTGAAGACCATCGGCGGATACTCTTTTCTAGGTTTTTAGCTAGCCTTGGTGAGGAACAAGACTACAGATAAATAAACAGTAAAACTACGGGGTTCTTCTATTTTATTTTATTTTATTTTTTTTTTTTGGTACCAGGGATTGAACTCAGGTCCTTCTGCTTGTGAGGCAGGCAGCAGAACCACTGAGCTAAATCCCCAGCCCGTGGGGTTCTTATTTGCTAACTATATGTTTTTTAACATTTTTATTAGTACATATTTGCAGTACATAATAATTACACGTGTCAGGAGGAGTTGGCATGTGTATATAACATCTTAATTCTTTTTACTTCCTTTTCCTCACCTTCCTCACCTCCCTTCAACCATTTCTTCTTTTTCGGGGGAGGGGTTACCGGGGCTTGAACTTGGGTCCTTGCATTTGCGAGGCAGGTGCCGGAACCACTGAGCTAAATCCCTGGCCCCCCAACCATTTCTTCTAAGTGTTTCAAATGCACTGATCCATTGATTCTCACAAAGGCTGTACCATAAAAGCTTTTATCTTCGCTTTAGAGATGAGAAATCTGAAGCACGGAGAGTACGGTTTGCTCAGAGTCACATAGACAGTAAGTGGCAGCGCAGTGATTTGGACTTGGACAACCTGGGCACCGAATCTGCCTTGGAGTAACTAGGCTTAATGAGATAGAAAAATTAAGAATTGGAGAGGGAAACAGGAGAGAGTAGGCAGGGTGGCAGAGAGCGGGTGAGAGACTTTCCAGATCGCCTGCTGGAGACGTCTTTCTTCTCCCAGGGCAGGAGCGCTTCACCTCCATGACGCGACTCTACTACCGAGACGCCTCTGCCTGTGTCATTATGTTTGACGTTACCAATGCCGCTACCTTCAGCAACAGCCAGAGGTGGAAACAGGATCTGGACAGCAAGCTTACACTGCCCAGTGGAGAGCCCGTGCCCTGCCTGCTCCTGGCCAACAAGGTGTGTAACTGACAGAAGACAGCAGCCCTGGCTCTTCAGTAGTCAGAGAGTGCACAGATCTAAGATGCATCTGATTCTGGGACTCTGTTTCCCCTTTTCAAGTTGGCGGAATCATGTTGAGAGAGTGACTCTCTTCGGGAAGAAGGCTGACTGCAGATTCTAGATGCTGGCGATCTTAGCCGTTGGAGAAATGTTCCAAGTCCACGTGTATCTGATCTGTGTTCCTGTTCTGATGAAGTTGATGGTGTTGCCTTTTATGTTTTTCTTTCCTAGTGTGATCTGTCCCCTTGGGCAGTGAGCCGGGACCAGATTGACCGGTTCAGTAAAGAGAACGGTTTCACAGGCTGGACAGAAACGTCAGTCAAGGAGAACAAAAATATTAATGAAGCCATGAGGTGAGTGGCTTGTGCTGCTCTGCTTTATCCATCTTCCACCGTGGCCCCACAGACCCTCTCTTCTTGTTTCTGAGCAAACAAGAATGCACTGGACCGCTGTAATATTAGCTCCTGAATTTTAGGCCTGCTGTCTTCTGTGCAAGATAACTGAGGACAAGAGGTACTTAAACCTTGTGACTTCATTGGATGTTGTCTAGTGATAAGACAGTGTCTGCCATTTCTCCTTTTCCTCCGTGCAGCTTCTCAGCCTTATTTTTCATTTGTTGTTGTTGTTGGTTTTGTTTTTTTTCTTAGAGTCCTTGTTGAAAAGATGATGAGCAACTCCAGAGAGGATGTCATGTCTTTGTCCACCCAAGGAAACTACATAAATCTGCAGGCCAAGTCCTCCTCCAGCTGGTCCTGCTGCTAGTAGCCTTTGGCTTGTTTTCCGTCCCATTGCTAGGACGTTTTCCCATCTCTCACCAAGTGGTTTCATTAAGAACATTTCAGCTGTTTCCTGCCTGCTGTCTGGTGAGGGGTCCGTGGTGACTTAGACACCTGGGACCCCCGGGCATTTCTTCATCTCCTGACTGCTGGCTCTGACTTGTTGCCTACCGCCTCATGTGGCCCAGTTAATGCCTTTATATAAGAAAGAGCATCTCATCCTTCTTTGTGATCTAGAATTTTGTGGGAAGCATTAGAATTCAGCATCTGTGTTTTAAAAATTGTAATTCTCACCTACTTGTAAGCTTACTTTTGCATTTGATGTATGATAATATTACTTCAGGAAAATGAGCTCAGATGTCTTTTCCCAAAATCCTCACAGGCCAGTGCTTTCAGATTCTTTCTGTTGTGGACTTGGAAATTCAACATGATTCTGGGATGCAGAAAGAGAAGGCTGGGCATCCGTGGGCTTTGGGCTACCGCATTTGTGGGCCTTTTAGTCATGATGAATTTTCTCTTATCTTGACTTCAAGAATTGTCAAGTTTTTAAACTACCTATCTTGTGTGATGAGTATTTCTTCTTTCCAGTGAGAAATTAATTCTCAGGTTTCTTGTTTCTTTGTTTTTTAGTTTCTCCCCTCTGGTAGGGCAGCAGCAGGAACTTGGGGGCTCTGGGTTGATACCTTGATCATAGTGCTGCCAGTGATATCGGGTGGCTTGGTGCTTGGAAACAGGTCTGGTTTTCACAGTTTGGGAATCAGAGTGGAAGGAAGGGGAGAGATTAATAGAATCCAGCAGAGTGGCTTTACAAACACGGGATAGCTAGCAGTTAATAGCCATATAAAACAAAGATTGTGTATGGCCCGGGGGTGGAAAATGGATAGACAAAAATTATTAAGTGCCAAATTAGGGTTTTTAGTATCAAATCACTTTAGACAGTTTAATTTGTAAAATTCTCCCCAGAATGATGATTTACAAACTACCCAAGTTTTTGAATATTCTTAGAGAGTTCAGAGGCTTGAATTCTTTGATAGATCTTAAATAAGTATCGTAAGCCAGTGGTTCCCAAGTCTATCTCATCAAAACTACTTGGAAAGTTTGTTTAAAAATGTATTTAATGTTTGAAGGGTTTTTGTTGATCCCAGTCTTAAACCTATGGAATCAACCCTTTGAGGGATGGGCCAGGGATTTAGATCAGTGGTTCCTCCGCCTGCCTTGCACTTGCAAGGCCCCAAGTTTGATCCCTGGTACCAAAACAACAACAACAACAAAAAAAGCCTTGAGGGGTGAGGCCTAGAAATGTGTCATTTTCAAAACTTCCGGGGTGATTCTGATCAACAGTATTTGGAAACTATTGCTGGAGAATGTGGTAAAGGCAGAGAAGCGGCCCTGGGCTTTTGTAGGTTCTGTTAGCTCTTTGTGATACACACAAGCTTTGAAAACCACTCTGAAGAAAGAGGCCAGAAGCCAAATATCAGAAGAGGGCCATCTGTGGTTAATTGTTACTTTTGAATGCCAATTTTTATAGCTTGCTTAGTCTTTTAAGACTTTGATGTTTTCTTTTATATTACTATTTTCAAATAGTTATTTATTACTAGTAATAGTATTTTCAGATAGATAGATTGGTTGCCATGATCCTAAAGATGATAGTGCAGTAACAAATTCTAGTGATGTGAAAAGAAAATTGATTTTCATTCACTGGTTTGAACCCCTGAAATATTACCAATAGGAACCAGGTCTTGTTTCAGGGTAGTTAGTAGGTACTGGCCTTTAACAATGTGAGTCAGTTAAAGTGCTGTTTTATACCTGTAGTTCAGAAGTATTGTGGAGGCCTTCAATTTTTAAATACCTTCTTTTTAGAGGAAGGTAAGTATTCTTTTTAGCTGTTAATTTACTCTACCAATTGCTTAGCTCCATATGCCCACTTCAGTACTTAATGTAACACTGCAAATACTGCTGTGAGATGTGACCATTTTAAAAACTGAATGTGCTTTCTCTTCCAATTCACTGGCTCACAACCTACCTGCCTTTTTGAATATTGTGTGCGGCTGCCCTGCCAGCCCTTCTGGGTTTCTCTCCCAATTGGTGAACCTTGTAGGCCTGAAACTCACTAAGGAAGGAGATCACCACGTTTAATTTATAGGCTTTTTTTTTTCTTTTATGGTGGTACTGGGGATTGAACCTATGGCCTTGTGCATACTAGGCAAGTGCTCTACCAGCTGAGCTGTCTCCCCAGGCCTACCACATTTAATTAATAGATACTAATTCCCTGTATGCGCCTATAGATAAAGAAAAGGAAAGCAGTTAAAATGAGGAAGAATCCGCTATGGGAGTTTTCCTCGCGAGAGCCCGCCCCATTTCCTCTAGGGTGTGCTTTTTTGTCTTTTTCCTCTTTTCCTTGGCTCAAGATCAATCTGCGAAGCCAGTCTCTCCCTCACTCTTCCCTCCTACTTTCTCAAATAAACTTTGCCACTTCTAAAAGAGAAGAAGAAAGAGAAACTTACATGAATGGAAATGCACTTACACTCAAATTCATTAAGCGCTATCATTTGGATGCTGTCTTTCTGGTAAAACTTTAGAAGTCCTTCCCTGCAGATGTTTCTGTATTTAAGGCAAGACATCCCCCATTATTCATCTGGTGTTTGACCAAGAAGAAAACCTAAGAATTCCCTGTGGAGTGTTCCGGGAAACCCCGAGAAGGGTTGAGAACAGTGCTGTGGGACAGTGACTCCTCCTCTGGCTTTATGACTAAATCAGTGGGGGAGAAGAGACCGTGGGGCAGGGCAGGCCCCTCAGCAGTAAATGGTCACTCGCTCTGCGCCACTTCTGAAGAGCCCAAATGAGTCACGGTGTAGGACTGCTAAGGTATAATTGGGTTCCTCATTTTTTCCTATTACTTTCAGATTAATTTTATTCTTCAGGGCACTCCTCCGTCACACATGAGGTTTTTCCTGCTGGTCATTATCTTTTTGTAGGCAGTGGGTTGCATTTGACATGATTTGGGGCCATGGTTAGAGGAGGTAAAACTTTCCATGAAATTCTGCAAAGCCAGTGACCAAATCTCCCAAGGAAACAAACCTCAGTGCCTTTTCCCCTCCGCCCTCTTGGCGCACTGTGTCAGTGACTCATCTGTTACAGCTAAACAATCCAAAAGCTGCAGGTTGGAATAGGTAGAAAGTCACTAGAAAATGATCTGTTGGAAAGAGCTCTTTATGTGTTTTTGATTCAGCCATAAATACCAGACTGCAGACTATATCTATATGTGAGGGTTTGTTTTTTTTTTTTTTTGTCAGAAAGATCCTGATTTCCTTTAGTTTTCAAACGTGATCTGAATTCTGTCCAGTTTTAGCTGCAGAATTTCAGTAATAATGGTATTGCTCTCCATTCAAGAGAGAAGTATATAGATATATGAACCTATATAGGTAGAGATGTACTATATAGAAATATTATACGCACTTAAAATAAGGAATTGGTTCACACAATTATGGCTGGCAAATCCAAAAATCTATAGTGATGATGCCCCAGTTTGAGTCCAAAGACCAGCAGGCCGATTCTAACGTGAAGGTTGTCAGGCAGAATTCTCCCTTACTTGAGAGAAAGCACTTTTGTTCTACTTGGGCCCTCAGCCAATTGGATGAGGCCCACTCACATTGGGAAGGCCATCTGCTTTACACCACCTGCCAGTTTAAATATTAACCTCCTCCAAAATCACCCTCACGGAAATACCCAGAACAGTGTTTGACCAAATATCTGGGCATCCAGTGGTCCAGTCAAGTTGATGATAAAAAATTAACCATCACACGCTCTTAACAGTGCTAAGTGATAGAGACTGTTTTGATACCTTTTCTTCATACAAATTTAATTTGATTCACATTCAGATCCATCTTGTTAGGAATTAATTACATGGTAATAGGAATCGGCAGGAGAAACTATAGGAAGGTGATAAGATAGGTATTTCCTGATTTATTACGTGAGCCCAAAGCACTAGAAACCAATTATCCTTCCCTCGGATCAGATATACGAGTTGTATATCTCTCACACCATCTTTGAAATAAGAAAGCAAACAGTTCCTCGCATTTGATGTTTGAGGGAACAAATGTCTCAAAACTTGACTGACTGAAAGGCAGCCGGTTGCACTTGTCATAAAGCCAAGACATAACTGCATGTCTCTTCATCCTCCATCTCCATTCTGTCATTTAGGTTTCTGGGAAACATTTGGCCTGCAAAACCTATTTTAGAAAATAAGCCCAGACATTTAGAGAAACAGAACCAAGCCCGTAGGAGTTTGAATTGCTTGCTTTGTGTCAGATAGCTTTGAGAGCGTGTTCATGGGTGGACGACAGATGTGTGATTAAGTTGGGGCCAGCTTAAGTGGAGCTTGAGTCACACACCGGGCAGATGTGTCCTACGATGTTTAACTGACGAGTTCCATTTACCAAGCCCAGTGACTCTCATTTAATTTTGAATATCACTTTTCCTTTTTGCAAGCACAAGGATTTTAACAGCTATTCTATTTTTGACTGTTGCTGCCAGTAGCCAGTGTTAATTTGAGTGTTTGCTATAAACCACATACTCTCCTAAATACTTCAAGCAGAACGTTTTTAATTTCACACTGACCCCCAGCCCCATGTGATAAAATATATGAGGAAACTGAAGCAAAAAAAAAAAAGTTTTTTTCAAGGTTATGCAGCTGGCAGGTAACAAAATCATGGCTTTTAACTCTAAGCCATGGGGCATCAGAAGCAGTGCCTAGCTATGTTGCACTGCCTCGTACTTTATGCAAATTTTCAGGACGGTGGAAAAAGTAATTTATTAAGTGGGCAATTAATCAAGTGGGTAGACAGATTTTTCCATTACTCTTTATACTGAAAAATATAAATCCTCCTCATTAGGGAAAATGAAGGAAAAAAATACAAACCATCCAATAGCACCAAAAGCCAACTAAGAACTCTATTTACAGTTCAGTAAATTTGATTTCAAGACAGACATGGTGGTGCGTGCCTGTAATCCCAGCACTCTGGGAGGCTGAGGCAGGAGAACTGCAAGTCCAAGCCCAGCTCGGGCAATTTAGTGACTTACTGAGACTATGTCTCAAAAATAAAAATTAAAAAGGGGCCGAGTATATAGTTCCGTGTGAAGGTCCTAGGTTCAATCCCCCCCAAAAAAATGGGGGAGCATTAAATGGGTTTCTTCCTCCTTCCCCGTCTTTTTCAGCATTGGGACTGAACTCACAGGTGCTATACCCACTGAGCTACATCCACAGCCTTTTATTATGTTGTGACGGAGTCTTGCTAAATGGCCCAGGCTGTCCTTGAACTTGGGATTTGCCTGCCTCAGTCTCCTGAGCAGCCGGGATTATAAACATACACCATCATGTCTAGCCATGTACTCACACTGAAAGTATCTCCAATTGCATAGCTCATGTATCCGGTTTTGCAGCAGGGGTTGTAGGAGATCTTAGGCCTGTGCCGTACAAATCCAACGGATAGAGGGCAAGAAAGAGTGTACCAAGGAGGACTTGAGATGACTATGAACTGAGGATTTCAGGTTGGGGAGGAAGGGGGATTTCAGAATTGTTCGCAAGTTTGGGAAGTGGCCGGTGGACCAAAGGGTCTGTGTGCTGAGCATTGGAAATCGGGTTAGAAAGCCGTGGGGCAGATTGTTTGGGTCACTCACTGAACCCGAGGTGGTGCAGCCGCCAAGTGCCAGGTCCTCCCGGGACAAACGCGCTGAGGGATGGAGGGGGCATCGTGGAGGAAGCCTGGGCTGCAGCGGCCGAAGGCGGGGGCTCGCTCGCTCGCTCAGGGAATAGGGACAGGACTCTGCTCTGCTTTGTTGGGGTGCAGTGATGAACTTGGCTGCGTGGTGTGCAAGCCACAAAGACTCCTTGCTCAAAGTGCTGCAGGCTGGGAGGTCCAAAATCGAGGCACCAG